AATGTCCTTTTATAAACTCCCTCTTCTGCGGTTGCCCCTTTTCCTAAACCGCAGGCCTTCCTGACTCGCAGCGGGGCCAGTACAGATTACAGTTCTGTGGTAGGTTCTGTCAGGCGAGCTCTGACAAGGCCTCAAAATAGACCCTGGGCACCAGCCAGGGAAACTGCCACTCACAAGTTCCAGCTTCATCCTAACACGTTAGCTCCTCAGCACTTTTTTTCCCCCTAGTCTTTCTCATTTTTAAAGGCCAAAGATTCCAGAAACCCCTCCTGGTCTTAACTGAAATTCAAATAATAAACCTCCCTTATTCTGCTGGCAAATGCTCTGCAGGCTACTACGGACTGAATCTGTATCTACCTCCTGCCATGGGAAATGAACCCATCAACAGCACTGTGGTTTGCAAAAGGATTTTTGGATCTCTAACTCCACGGAGGTTTATTTTATTATAAATAGACTAGGATGAGGGAGATAAGGGGAAAGTGAGGTGGGTTATTTACTTCCCTGTGTCTAATAATACAGAAACAGACTTTAGCAGGGCAAGGAGTTCAAGTATATACAATGTTTTTCATTGATATTGGTCATAAAATCCTAAAACAATCAACCTACTACAAAAGGTATTCATTTAACTATTACCAAATATAAATGGTTTGTCTATAACAGCACCAGTCTTCAAGCTCCAGTATTTTTACCCTTACCAGTACAAATAAAATTAACCACCTATCGCTACAATGTTTCAAATTGCCTTAAAAATACAATTGCATTATTTTTTAAATGGAAGGAGGATAAAGAATACAAAGTAATTAAGAGCTCCTTTCTCCTGCTATGAGGTTAAGAAAGACATTAACTTCTATAAAAAAAAGCCCAATGTAGGATTGAAATAAATGTTTAGATTTTCACAACTTAAGTCCCAACCTTGCAATCACATTTTTCGAAATACATTTCATATAAATACTTATGGACTAGTGCAAAGGCTTACATATGAGTTGTTCATGACAGCAGTGTTTGTAGAAAGCTAAAAACAACTTAAATATCTATTAATAGGAAATGGTAAGATAAATTATGGAAAATGGATAAATTATGGTTCAGCTACACGCAGTCTTTTTAAAAATCAGATGGATACATGTGCTAATATAGAAAGATCACTAAGATATATCAAGGGCAAGAATGAAAGATACAGGACATTTCTCCTAAACATATGTGATTACATATGTAATAGAAAATTTGGAGAGGGATATGCAGGAAACCATTAACAGTGGCTGCTTGGATTAGGGGGTGGGAAAGTGAGAAAAGACTAGAAGTGTATTGTGGAAAGGAGACTTCCTTTTCACCCTAGAACATTTATTTTTAAATGTATTATCAATTTTTAAAAGTCACCCAAACATCTACTGAACCCATAAAGTGAGCATTCTTCCATGTATGCCATTTCTTCCCTCTTCCTAGCCATTTCTGGTCTTACCTACTGCTGGCCCCACCACCAGAGCAAAACAAAAGCATACATATGCAGCGAATCTCAGAGATTCTCCAAGAAATAGAATGCTCTCTCCATCCCCCCACCAAAATAAAGAAATAGTAGAACAACGGAAAAAAGTATATGATAAACCCAGTTTTTAGCCCATTGTCTGGCCCAAATTCTTGTAGGCCCAAAAGTTTTAACAGTGAAAGTGCAATATGCAATACAAAAAACATCATTTCCAAAGGTGTCCTATCTATTATCTTAAAGGGGAAAATGGAGAAAAAGTTATTTTACCTACAGGGTAAATTTTGCTCAATTCCTTCCTTCTGAGTTTTTTTTTTTTTTTAAGATTTTATTGGGGAACTGGGGAAGGGGAACAGTGTTGGGTAATTGGGGGAGGGGAACAGCCAAGTTGTCCTTCAGTCTTAGCTGTGGAGGGTGCAGCCAGCTCAGCTCCAAGTCCAGTCACCATCCGGCAGCCCGTGGGCAGCTCGGAGCCGCTCAGCTCAAGGTGCCGGGTTCAATCTTAATTGCGGGTGGGCGTAGGCCCCCATCCCATGTGGGAGTCGAACTGGCAACCTTGCTGTTACTTCCTTCTGAATTTTAAAAGTTGAGTTTTGGGCCGGCCGAGTGGCACGTTGGTTAAGAACTGGCTTGGGAAGCCAGAGGGCCCTGGTTCGGATCCCACATATGAGGGCCGGTGACGCTGCCCTCTACAGCTAAGATGCTGAACAACAGCTCAACCTGGAGCTGGGCTGCCTTGAGTCGCTGGCGACGGCATAGGCTGCAGTGGGGCTGGCCAGCAGCCGCTGTAAGCAGCCGTCCAGAGGCCGGCGATTGATCTGCCTCACCCAGGAAGAGCGCAATGATGGTGCCAACATGGGCCAGTGAAGCAACGTCCTCCACAACTAGACTGAAGAAGAAAATGACAGCAACTTGTCTGTTCCCCTTCCCCCAATTCCCCAATAAAATCTTAAAAAAATAAAAATAAAATTTGAGTTTTGAATGATGGTCATAAAGTCTATTCTTTATTTGAAAACTGGACAAGATTGTATGTTTTCCCAGTTAAAGAACCTTCTCTCAGATTCTCCAGAGAGAAAACAACTACCTAGAAGGAAAAGGCTAATAGGTGCAATGATCTGATGGTGAGGACAGAAGAATTTTATTTCCTCCTACGTGATCCTCATCAACAGTCTCAGCACACTGCAGGGATAATTTTTTTTTTCCTATTCATCATCAATTCTGTTCCTTTTCACACTAGGAGCAGCATAAACAATTCACAAAGAGCTTTGCAAGAAACTGCTCCCTCCCTCTCATTTCTAATAAAGATCTGGTTTGTTTTTTTTTTTTTTTTGAGAAAGAATCTACTTTGTCAAATAAATTCTCTCTATCACTTTTTTCTTTCTTTATGGAGATGCTTGAATTCCGACCTAAGAAGATTTCTCTTGCATATCTACCTATCAAGACAGTCAGTAATGGTGGCTTCCAAAGGGATTTCCCAAAAGGGAATCTCTGTTCACTGGGAACTGAAACTCTTATGTCACTATTAAATGCTGGACAAAAATCAAAAGTGGCATTAAGGGAACACTCTAACTATAAGAATGGATATCCAAGGAAACAAGATGCCAAAATTGAGTAAAAAAACTAAAGGAATTTGGTAAGCAAGACCAACGGGGTAAACTTACTATTACTTTATAATTGATAACTAATTAAAGTTCTTTATAAATGAAAATCAAGGTAAAATAAGCTGAATCCAGAAACAAGAAAAAGAAAACAAGGCTAAGAGTATCAAGAGCTCCGATTCAGTTATTTTGCTTAACAACATTTTAAAAGTCAAAATGATCACATTACATTTCAGCAATAAAAAGTTATTTCTAGTTTCAAATGAATTCATTCCAATAATAAATAACAACTTTAATAAACACTTTCTTCTACACCAGAACTTAAATAAGAACTCAGTGTATATAGCCTCATTCCACATTGTTAAGGATAGATTTGGCATAATAGGTGAAACCTTTCACTCCAAAGACTATTTTGTACTCTGCAGGTTCTTTCAGTGAACTTTTCCCTACCTTAACGACGGTAGCTCTCCTTTTTACTGATGCTTATTTTGTTTCTAGACCCCTTCATTTATGTATCTTCCCACATCGGGCAAAATACGGGTAAAAATCACAACAATCCATTTAGGAACTAACAATTAATTCTAAATCCAAACATTCTACAGAGGTTCAACTTTTATTTCCTTACTATAGTTCATAATAATAAATACCCAGCAACAAACCTAACCAACTGTAATACAACACTTGTATGAAATGAGTGAAGGCATCTAGTTAAACAGGCAGTAACAAACTTCTAGGTTTCCTGTATTCCAATCTTAAGATCTATATCAGTGATTCACAAAGTAGTGACCTAACTTCCGAAATGAATCACACTTTCCCAAATTCTTATTCTGCATGAGTATAATACTAGGTCATCATCTCTATATTTGTTAAACAGAACATGCTGTTGGTAAAACAGGGTTAATTCTGCAGACTTGCAAACCTCAAAGTCCCTGCCAACTAACTCTTATCTGTAACACTTTACATTCTCCAAAAACAGATTTATCCCCAAAATAAAACGTTATCTTGGGAAAATGTTATTTTAAATATTAAGAGCTCATCCACCCATACTTTGCTTTCCATTCTCTAATTCTCTAATATCATTACTGTATCCACATGCTCTTCCCATTGTGATAACATAAAAATGGCTACTTTTGTATCTTTTAGTCAATTAACCTACGCTACAATATTTCTGTTTACGGCAGAAATGCTGAGTCATTAAATGAACCTCAAAGAAAGAGAGCTACAAACTAGTTCAAGTTTAGGATACAATACTTCCCTAGCCATTTGTCAGCAGCTTGATATTTGTATCTCCCACGGTTGAAAAAAAAAAAAGTGGACCACACACTTCAACTTTTTTCCCCCCGTAAGAAAGAAAAGAGGTGGGTTTCCTTAGGTCCTCCTGCTTCCTGCTGGATATCCACACAGGCAAGAGAAGCAGGACTGACTGGACTCTATAACTTAACAATCTGGGTGTGAAGAACACCTCTTACTAGTCAAGCATTAACCCTGACACTCCTAGGAAGCGTCTGTTACACCCGCGCTTCGGTTCGGGTCAAGGGGGAAGAAGAAGAAAAAAAAAAAGCCATAAAAATGCTACGTCCTTCATCGGCCTGACACCGTTCCCTGGGGACAGAACCTAGGGAAGGAGAAGGCGCCTTGAGCACCCGAAGCAGGACAGCAGCCCAAGTGAATTTCTCCTACAGTGGGAGTACCACCTTCCCCTCGCGCGGATGGAGGGTGCGGGTTGGAAATGAGGCGTGATGCCAGAGACCACGGCAGGCAGGGGGCGACCCCGACCCCGGCGCCCGCCGAGGGACGCCGCCAGCTCCAGGGAAGCCCGGCCCCCAGCAGGGGTCAGCGGTGGCGCGGACCTCCCCGGGCTGCAGAGGCCAGGAGGGGGCCCCGTCCCTGCTCTCCTCCGGGCCGGCGGGAAGAGCGGCCCTTACCTGTCTCTGGGCACCGGCTGTGGCTGCGGCGGCGCCGCCGGGGAAGGGCCGGAGCGCGGCTCGTCCGCCGGGAGCCCGCCGGGGCGAAGAGCGAGGAGCAAAGGGCGAGGGGCGCGGAGGGCGGACTCGGTCCCAGGTGCCGGCCAAGCGGGACGGGCTGGACTCAGCGGTTCCGGGCGCCAGCGGCCGACGAGTCCGTCACGCCGGTATCCCCACCGCGCCGCGGCAGAGACAGCGGGAACCGGCCCCCGGGAGGAGCCGCAGCCCGAGCGGCGGCTAAGGAGGCGAAGCAGGGGCGGGGCCACAGGGGCGGCGACCCGCTCACCCGGAAGTAGTTGTGGCCTCAGCGGCGCGCCGCGGCATGAGGGTGATACCGGCCGGGCGGAGTGCTCCAGGCTCTCCCGCGGTGAGCTGCGCGTCGCCCGGGGTGCGGGGCTCCTGCCACCCGGCTCCGCCACCGCGAGCTGCTGGGGCTGCGCCGGAGGGAGCGCTGCGGGGCGCGACAGCCGGTGGGGCGGAGGCCCGGGGCGGCCCAGAGGTGGCTCCTCCGGGCCCGCGCGGCGCCTGCCCAGCCCCTCCGTCCTCAGGACCGAGGCCAGGAATGTGAACTGATGCGTGTACCGGTTCAAGGCTGCACCTGCCCTTCCTGGTCGTCTCTCACCTTTCTGGCCTAGCAGGCTTGGGTGAGTGGCCCGGGGTGGCATTTCCGACTGTAGGAAACGAGTGTGCGCGGGTGAGTGGGTGTGGTTGAAATGCTAAAAGCCGTATTTTCAATCATGAAAAACGCATGATTAAAAAAAAAATTGTTTATGGAGAAGAATGCTGGGGGCGTGGGGGGTGAGGGTTGGATATGGGCTCCATCAGATAGCAGATCGGCACGGACCTGTCTTTCATTCCAGAAGAATCTCGCGAGACCCGCCAGGTCCAAGGCACTGGAAAAACACCAGGACCCTTTGGGAAGGATCTTTGGGAAGCTTACCTTGTCGTGGGGTAGACGGATTTAAGCCAACAAACAAGGTAATGACAGGTGGTGTAAGGCTCTGCAAGAAATGCACTAGTGATGCGAGAGATTGTGTCCTCTTGGGCAGGATAGGATGGCTAGAGAAGAACACCGAAAGAAAGGGACAGTGGAGCAGCCTCCTGAGAAAACGGCACAAAATACACTTGGACACACCTTTCCATTCAGGGCCTGTAGGTTGCAGATTCCCCTGAATAAGCCCACGGACTTCATGTTAAGAATCTGTCTCTAAAAAGCCTTCTAAAGGCTGTTTCTGTGCTTCTGCATTTTCAGGAGACTTGTACTCCCTTTAGAGTTCATGGGGGCTGTGACTGTGGCACTGATGGAAGAGGTTCAAGTCATGAATTCGGGAACTTGGGTCTCTAGATAGTGAGGCATCAACAGATGCTGATCGCAGGGGGAATTACACCATCGGCCTTGAAAGAAATTTCTTTACCCTTTAACTTTTTTTTTCCTTTCCATGTCACTATTTTTCTCAGATCCATGAATAAAATGACTTTTATCTGGGATCAAGAGGAGCTTGATCTTCCCAAAAGATCATACCATGTTATGACCCGAATAAAGGATTAATAATATATTTTGCTAAATCAGTTAAAGACAAAATGAAAGGCCAGCTTGCAAGAGAGAGGGCCTATTCAAGTAATAATGCATTACCTGAATAACACCAATAAACTCAACGATGTTTATTAGATATTAGTTTATATAACTGCACAATTAAATTGAAGGATTGTTTGGATAGTATTCGGATGTGATTCTCCTCTTTTTATTTTACTCTTTAACCACTTGTTTTGGCTCATACTAAACTAACAAAAATATTTTGTTGTGTCTTCTGGGAAAACTGGCTTGAGTACCTACTGTGTGCACAGCATTGTGCTAGCATTTAAATGTATTATCCCTTTCAGTACTAGAACCAACCTTATATATGGGGATTCTTATACCCATTTTAGTAACACAGACATTGAGATTCGGAGAGATTGTGACTTGCCTGAGGTAACAAAACTGATTGCTGGAAGAGCCAAAATTTGGACTCATTTCTTTCTTGCCCTAATTCCCTTTACACCATGTTGCTGTACTTTAATATTTAAGAGGAAAATATAAGTGAAGTGTCCAGCCAAGCAGATTTTTATTTTGCTTTTAGAATTTTATTATGAAAATATACATTAAATCAGAGTGTAAATGAGGCAATTTTGGAACTTCTCTGTGTTTTTTCTTCTCCCTCTATAGCAGCGGTTCTCAACCTTCCTAATGCCGCGACCCCTTAATACAGTTCCTCATGTTGTGGTGACCCCCAACCATAAAATTATTTTCGTTGCTACTCTATAACTGTAATTTTGCTACTGTTATGAATCGTAATGTAAATGTCTTTTTGTTTTCCGATGGTCTTAGGCGACCCCTGTGAAAGGGTCGTTCGACCCCCAAAGGGGTCGCGACCCACAGGTTGAGAACCGCTGCTCCATAGGATATTTGCCATCTATTTGGCACCCCCAAAAAACCACGCCACTTGATTTAAGAATTCCTACTGCCATGTGTCTTTTGAACACTTTCAAGAATGTTATAAAGTATGATGCTAACATTTTGTCACTGCAAGGGGGTCCTGACTAAATCTGTCACTCTGAATTATTTCACAAGCAGTGTTTCCCTGCACAGTAAGTGATCTTTCTGCCAAAAATATGTGTCCCCAGTTCTTTATGGAATATTTTGACATGTGAATGCCCCCAAGTCTGAGTGGACTGGCTGCTCTAGGGACAAATTAACAGATGAAGAAAAATTTTGCAAGTGTTTATACAGTTTTGAGGAATGAGGTAGTAGGATTTGTACATTTTTGTTCCTTTCATATCAGATCCTTCACATTTTTCTTTGATGATGTCAAAAAACAAAAATCTTTCTCAAGAGCAAACATTTATTTTTGTGGTTTTCACAAAATTAAGTTGTCCTTTGCAAATACAATACTATGTAATACAATATTATGTTCACTCTTTACACTTTTCTGGAAAACATCATTAGTTCAAACATTAAAAATAACGATGCCACTTTTCAGAGCCTAATATTTTTATTAGTAAATTGTGTGTGTGTGTGTGTGTGTGTGTGTGTGTGTGTGTGTGTGTGTGTTGGAAGCATTTTTAAATTTTTTTAAGTCCTTACAAACCTATGGAAATCGAGCAAAGCAACAGTCTTCAATTGTGTATATTTGGTTTTGTTTGTTTGTTTGTTTTTAAAGATTTTATTGGGGAATTAGGGAAGGGGAACAGTGTTGGGAAATTGGGGAAGAGGAACAGCCAAGTTGTTGTCATTCAGTCTTAGTTGTGGAGGGTGCAGCTAGCTCAGCTCCAAGTGCAGTCGCCATCTGGCCTCCTGTCAGCAGCTTGCAGCTAGCTGCTCAGCTCAAGGTGCCGTGTTCAATCTTAGTTGCAGGTAGGCATAGCCCACCATCTAACCGGCAATCTTGTTGTTAGGAGCACATGCTCTCACCAGCTGAGCCATCCTGCCACCTGTTGGCAGCTCAGCGGCAGCGCAGCTTGGGCGCAGCTCACTGGCCCATGTGGGAATTGAACCGGTGATCCTGTTGCTCAGAGCTCGTGCTCTAATCAACTGAGCCACTCGGCCAGCCCCTGTATATTTGTTTTAAATATAACAAATAGCCTCTTTCCAAAAATCTCTTCTTATCTAGATTTACTATTTTTTCTTGCTATTTACTATATTTTCTTAGAAATAGCTGTAGACTCGCAAGAAGTTGCAAAAATAGCAAAGAGGTCCTGTGTACCCTCCACCCAGCTTCCTCCTTTGGTAGCTTGTTACACACCTGTAATGCATCATTAAAACTAGGAAATTCACATCTGGCTATCTTCTTTAGGTTTTTAGTTTCTTTTTGTTTCATTATATAAAAAAATTACCGTTTTGCAACAATTCATTTCTATTGTATTTGATTTGGCTCTTCTCCTTTTCCTAAATTAGCAGATGACAAAGTCAATAAGCTTGCATGGTGCTGATGTGGAATTACAAGTTTACTAAAAAATTCTGTGGGTGAACACACTTAAAAATTACTCATTTGTAAGATTTTTGCTTTTTTTTCTGCTTACACTATTCCATGTCATTCTGCCCTAATAAACCTATAAATTTATGCAACTTGTGTATGTGTGGTTTTTTTTGTTGTTGTTGTTGTTGCTTAAGATTTTACTGGGAAATTGAGGGAGGGGAACAGCGTTGGGGAATTGGGGAAGGGGAACAGATAAGTTGCCGTCCTTTTGTTCTTCAGTCTAGTTGTGGAGGATGTCGCTTCACTGGCCCATGTTGGTATTATCATTGCGCTCTTCCCAGGTGAGGCAGATCGGGGACCTGTCTTTCATTCCAGAAGAATCTCGCGAG